TCAAGCACTGAGAATACAGTGCTTATTAATATACGTTGGGTAAGGGCAAACCCATTATATATAATTGCTACAGATATAGTTCTTTTGGCTATGCACAACAAGATGGCTAACATAGCAAAATGCCAAATGACTGGTTCTAGGCCAGTCAAGATACAGAAACTGTAGGTGAGGTCTCATAACTCTTAATGCGCTGCATTTCGTCAGCCCAAATGCCCATTGAGTTAAAATGAAATGAAACCCAGTCTCTGTGGTGCCGAACCCCATCAGGCCTGTTGCTCATTAGACTGTTCGCCAAAACATGGTACTTTTAGTAGTGCATTTAGGCACAGGCTGGGGGGGACTGCAACAGGAAACTGGAGCAGCTGGATGATGTAGAAATTGGGCGACTTCATGGTTACACAATCTCCATCACCTGTGACTGATGGCATGCTCAATGACAATATTAGAATAATAAAAACAGACTGGTGTGTAATAAGTGTTTGTAACCCTGAACCTTGATTCTCCCTCATAGCATCAACCTGGCATTCCAAGTGTGTGACCCATTTCTCGGCATCTGCCCTTCTTGTAGGTTGTTCACTTCCCTAACCCTGTTACGTTTCAGAGTGCCCTGACGGACATGTCTAACTATGGCCTGGTCACCAACAAGAAGCCAGCACCAACGGTCATTTCAGGGAAAATCAATGGACCAGGCAACAGTGGATGCAGCAATAACAGCAGCAGTGCAAACAGGGTCAAGACAACAGCAGAAAAGAAACGAGACACTATGGCTATGTATGACATCAACAACTTTGCCAGTAAGTAGCCATTCACTGCAGGTTATGGAATTTTAATGGCCATTTTCAGTGAGAACATACTCTGTGGTCAAATTCAGCTAATGCAGTTGACTTATTGAACCATTTAATATCCATGGTAAGTATCAAGTGATGTACTGGCCACTATTGCTTAATATTGCCTGATGACAGATTTGGCATCAGAACCTGCTTTGAAATTCTAAGTGCCGTTTTACAGTGACGCTGTGTGGCACATTAAAAACCTTCTCCTGCGTACCTTCATATGTTACAATTTTCTTCAAATTTTGTACGGTCTCAGTGCTCAAAGTAAACATTAAATGTTTTGGTGTGAGGATTTTTGACCAAAATTTAATGTATATGAAAATGATCTAAACTGGTAATTATCAAAGATTTGTGCAAGTTATAACAAATGCTTGGGTCTATCTGTGTGTTTATCTTCTGTTTTGAAGATTTCTTTAGGCCAAAGCTCCTTGGCTTTTTAGTGTTTATTATGCAAAATATCTGCACCAGAGTGGCCATTGTGTGTATACGCATACACGTTCTTGGCAGCTGGTTTACATTGCTGCGTTTGTTCCATCCTGAATGTGAATTTCCTCTATTTTGAGTTATCATCACCTCTAAATAGTTTCTTTTTTATTAAAAACAAATGTATAAATGATCGATAAAAGCACACACACAAATTTCAGGAGCCAAGGGGATGTTTGGTAAACCTGCATGTTTGGTATAACAGTGTTCATTATTGTTTCAATCAAGTCCATAACAATTCCCTGCAAATCCATCACAACTTATCCATTTTCAAGCCAAGTTACTAGCTCTTAAGATGAACTTCGGCAAAAGCATTTTTATCATTGTTAGTTTATTGCTTTTGACTGGTTTGTGAAAGAATTTGTAAAGGGACTTGCAGAAGCACTTATGGTGGACTGTACCCCAGTACAGGTGCCCTGTACTTGACGTCAAATAATTCATCTGCCCATTTCCCTTAAAAAAAGTACTTGAACACATTTGCTGCATCAGGTGTTGTGGTTGTAGACGACAATCCTGAAGTGATCGTGGAGGACCCCAATGAACTGCTGATTCCAGATGAAGGTTTCCAAGAAGTGCGCTCCAAGAAAACGCTGAAGGAACGTCAGAAGGCCCAGGAGGCAGAGAGGAAGAAACAGGAAAACCAGGCCCTAGCTGAGGTAGGTCAATGCCAGGTCCTAGCTGAGGTAGGTCAGTACCAGACCCTAGCTGAGGTAGGTCGATGTCAGGCCCTTGTAGAGGAAGGTTGATGTCAGGCCCTTGCAGAGGTAGGTCGATGTCAGGCCCTAGCTAAGGTAGGTTGATGTCAGGCTCAAGCTGAGGTAGGTCAACGCCAAGCCCTAGCTGAGGTAGGTTGATGGCGGGCCCTAGCTGAGGTAGGTTGGTATGTCTGACCCTAGCTGTGGTAGGTTGATGCTTGGCGGCTTTGTGTTGGCCATATGTGACAACCATTGAGGGCACTCTTAGCTGCTCAAGAGGGCCAGTTGAGGGTATTTAAATTTACAGATGGTAGACATGCTTGCTGAAGGTAGCCTTTAGAGGATGTGTGTGCATTTGTTGAGGTTCATCAATTTGTGATATTAAAGTGTAGGATGAAATGCGGTGCTAGTGTACATATTGATCTTGAATTTTCAACTCTAGGAAAGGAAGGGCTAGGAAACGGCGTACCCATCAGACAACTAGAGCAACAGATCATTGAAGATTTAGATGTTTCCTAGTTGATACGAAAGAACTTGAATCATAGTAGACACTTGTGGAAGAAAGATGTATCTCAGACACTCCATAATGAAGGAAACCCCTCATTATCCCATTGTTGAAGTTTGTCACTAGGCATGTGGTTTTATAAATCTGGATTGACAGGTGTTTGTTTGAAAGCATATTTTTTCTGATGTGAAGGTAAATGTATGCATGATGAAGTTATGACATGGTTAATTGCAGTGCATGCCAGAAGGTTGCTTGTTACAGTGCCTACCATGGGTTAAAGATAATTCTCTTGATGGATATCGTTCCAACAGGCCATGAAGCAAACCCGTGTCAATACGGCCTCTGGTAAACCTTCCCGTGCCCACTCCAAGCTGCCACCACGATTCTCAAAGCAGCAGGCAAAGGATGCAGCCAAAGAGGCATCAACCTCTGGCTCTGCTAGCCGGACTGTGGGGCCACTCAACAAGGCACCTGGAACCAAACCCATGACAAGTGAGCCAGCTAACATGGGGCTACTGATGGGAACATCCAATGTCATTATGTCAACCAGAAGCAGTAAGTAAAGATAGTTTCAGTTTGAAATCACTGTAGAGATGAAGGCTAGCTAGACTACCAGTGTGCCTCTTGATTTCCAGAAGCACTTAAAAGGAAAGTTGTGTTCCCATCGTCAGTATTTTTACGACAGAAGAAATGACCAACTTCTTGAATCTACAGGTACAATAAATGTCACAAACATGGGCCGCTGTAAGACATCTTATAATTACCGATATCAGAGAAAGCTCACTATGTGTTAACTACAAAGTGACCTCTGAAACATTAGTGATTGGACAGGAAGTATAGACACCATGTATACACACACCTACTCCAGTATCTTGGCCACCAAAATAGCAGATTTTCAGCTTCCAACCTGTAAATACAAACTCATTCTTGTATTTAGAGTGCAGTTTATCAATCACAGAATTCATATTCCTTGTTGAGGTGAATTTCCCTTCCATATTTCTTCGAGTTTTCATGTTTGGAGTGTGATCATTAAATCTTTCTGGCTTTCACTTTCACATCCCTGCTGCTGAGTGGCATACTTCAGAGTGTTTCTGCACATAGTACATTGAAGCTTTGCCAGCAATATTCATCTTGTCTTGTTCCAGGTGCTGCTACCACCTCTTGAACTGACTTCTCATGCCGTCTATGTCAGCTGTTTCCTGTCAGCTAATACTTACATGCCATCTATGTCAGCTGTTTCCTGTCAGCTAATACATACATGCCATCTGTA